TATTTTTAAATAATTTTATACATTCACTTGTAGCCCAGCTGTAGCCCTCTCCCTCTTTCCCTCCCAATCCTCCCCTCCCTCCCTCATCTCTTTCCTGCCCCCTTCCGAGTCCACTGAGAGGGGGTGTCCTCCTTCCATCTGGCCCTAGCTTATCAGGTATCTTTAGGATGGTTGCAATGTCCTTATCTGTGGCCTAGCAAGGCTGCTCCTCCCTCAGGGGGGAGGGGAAGCTCATGAGTTCATGTCAGAAACAATTCTTGTCCCCCTTACTAGGGAACCCACTTGGATACTGAGCTACCATGGGCTATAGGTTAAATAGCCTGAGCAGGGGGTTGTAGGTTACAGCCATGCATGGTCCTTGGTTGGATAAACAGTCTCATAGAAGACCCCTGTGCTCTGATATATTTGGACCTTGTGGGGCTCCCTGTCCCCTCTAGGATATACTAATTTCTTCTTCCTTCATAAGATTCCCTACATTCTGCCGAAGGTTTGGTTATGGGTCTCAGCATCTGCTTTGATACACTGCTAGGTAGATTCTTTCAGGTGCCTTCTGTGGTAGGCTACTTGTTTTCTCCTATTTCCAATGTCCATCCCCTTTCTCTTTCTAGATGAGGATTGATCATCTTACCCCTGGACCTCTTACTTGTTTATCTTCTTTAGGTGTACATATTTTAGTATGTTTATCCTGTCTTATAGGTCTATATAAGTGAAGATATACCATGTGTGTTTTTCTGCTTTTGGGATACCTCACTCAGGAAGATTTTTTCTAGATCCCACCATTTGCCTGAAAAATTCATGATTTCTTTTTTTTTTTAATTATACTTTATTTACTTTGTATCCCCCCTCTAGTTCCCTCCCTCCTTCCCTCCCAATCTCTCCCTTCCTCCCCTTTCTCCACATACTCCCCTCCCCAAGTCCACTGGCAGGGGAGGGTTTCTTTTTCTTCCTTCTGATCCTAGTCTGTTAGGTCTCATCAGGAGTGGCTGCATTGTCTTCCTCTGTGGCTTGATAAGGCTGCTCGCCCCTCAGGGGGAGGTGATCAAAGAACAAGCCAATCAGTTTATGTCAGAAGCAGTCCCTGTTACCATTACTATGGAACCCACTTGCACACTGAACTGCCATGGGCTACATCTGTGCAGGGGTTCTAGGTTATCTCCATGCATGGTACTTGGTTGGAGTATGAGTCTCAGAAAAGACCCTTGTGCTCAAATTTTTTGTTTCTGTTGCTCTCCTTGTGGACCTCCTGTCCTCTCCAGCTCTTACTATTATTTCCCACTTCTTTCATAAGATTCCTTGCATTCTGCCCAAAGTTTGGCCATAAGTGTCAACATCTGCTTTGATATTCTGCAGGGCACAGCCTTTCAGAGGCCCTCTCTGGGATGTTCCTAACTTGTTTCCTGTTTTCTTCTTTTTCTGGTGTCCATACTCTTTGCCTTTCAGAGTGGGGATTGAGCATTTTAGCCAGAGTTCTTCCTCTTGATTGGTTTCTTTAGGTGTACAGATTTTAGTAGGTTTATCCTATATTATATGTCTATATGAGTGAGTATATACCGTATGTGTCTTTCTGCTTCTGGGATAGCTCACTCAGGATGATCATTTCCAGATCCTACCATTTACCTGCAAATTTCATGATTTCCATGTTTTTAATTGCTGAGTCATATTCTATTGTGTAAATGTACCACAATTTCTGTATCCATTCTTCAGTTGAGGGGCATCTGGGTTATTTCTACCTTCTGGCTATTACAAATAAAGCTGCTACAAACATGGTTGAGAAATGGTTGAGCAGCTGTCCTTGTTATGTACCTGAACATCTTTTGGATATATGCCTAGGAGTGGTAGCAGCATGTTTAATACAGAGCAAATGTAAATTTAAGTTAGAGTAAGTACACTAATATATCCCTGGAGAAGATGACTCATCTACATCGCAGTCCTTATATTGGAGAGAAAAGAAATTTTACAAAAAAAATGTAAACTTTCAACTCTGCAAAAGAAAGAACACTTGACCAGAAGCCAGGAGACCTGCATTCTAAATCTTGGTCTAGCCTGGAATAATTCTGTGACTTGCCTACTATGCATTTGCATTTCTTTAGATATAAACTGAGGTTTAAGTTTGGGTTTTTTAATCTCTAAATTATATTTTTTTCTTCTACTCTACTAGTATGCTGCGATACTTTTTAAATTTTATTCTTTTTGAAAATAAATTTGTCTGCCTTCCATATTTGAGTGTTTTTGCCTAAATGTATGAATGTACACTACATGCATGACTGTTGCCTAAAGAGGTCTGAAGAGGGCACCAGATCCCCTCGAACTAGATTTATGGACAATCATAGCCACTTTGCAGGTGCTGAGAAATAAATCTAGGTCCTCTGGAAAACAAAAACAAAAACAAAATCAAATGCTGTTAAACACTGGGCCATCTCTCCAGCCTCTACCTCTTGCTATGTTTTTTGTTTGGCTTTGTGATTGCTCTTTTGGTTCATAGCAGGGACAAAAATTCTGCTTTGAAGGATCTTGCTATAGTAACTGACTTATCATGGTGAAAACACAGTGGTGAAAGGACAGTATTTCCTACTTTCTTTTACTCCTCAGATGTCCTTGAACTGTATAGTTTTTATAAGCATTAGTGATGCAAATATGAGGGGCAAGATCAGGACACTCAGTTTGTATTGGAATGTCCCATGCAAACAGCACATCAGAAATCAAGAAGTGGAATTTAGCTTGAACTTTTAGAAGGCATGCCAGTCTGTAAAAATCCAAATGAGAAATGTTAAGATGAAAACAATCCACCATTCTTTTCTAAATGCAACTTGATATTGAATCTAAAGACACCGGGAAAATATAAATTGGATCATTTTGCTAAGGTCTCTTCCCCCTTCTGTTGGTACAAGTGACCTCACAGTAGTCAGAAGGCATAAAACTCAGAGATAGACCTTTCAGCTCTCACATTCTCTTTTCATCTGGATTATTTTATTTTTATTTTATGTGTATGGTTGTTTTGTCTGTATGTATGTCTATGTACCACACAAATGCTTAGTGCCCAGTAATATCAGAATAGGGCATTTTATCTCCTAGAACTGGAGTTACAGATTATTTTAAGCCCCATATGGGTACTGGGAATTGAATCTGGGTCTCCTGCAAGAGCAGCCAGAGCTTCTAACTACAGGTCATATCTGTAGTCCCTGGATTACTTTAAAGGAGGAGGTTTGTATTTTGTATCTCATAGGAAAAGGAGAATTGAGAAGAGCTCTGAAAGAATTAAGGCTTAAATCAGACTTCACACCCCTTCCAATTTTGTTCCTTGGTAGGCTGGCCTATACTTCTTTCCTCACAGATTAAAAGGCTAGCAATGGTGATAAATACCCATGTGCATTTGTTACCACGTGTCTGTGGCATAGAAAATGAGGAAAACAGAAAAGCAATATAAGTGCTACTTTTCTACTGTTGGTTTCTTCACTGTTTTACATTTCTGTCTTCTAGGCACCACTGCTGTCTTGTGAAGCTCATACAAAGTTCATTGTTTGGAGGAAAGGGTGTCTGTAACAGAAGGGCAGGGTGAGCATTACCTTGTGAATTTTGCTTATTTAACCTGTTTTATACATAATTGCCTCTTTGTAAGGCACTCTTATAAATGTTTTACAGATATTAACTCAGTGTTCATAACATGGATGACAAATTAGAACATATTATCATATTGTCTTACAGGAGGAGAAATTGAGGCATAGAGAGGAGTGATGGTTAATTTTTATTGCCAGCTGGGCTGAATTGAGAAAAATCTAGGGCACTGATGAGGTATATTCCTTGGGTGTGACTATGAGGGATTTTTCAGAGAGTGTTAACTGGGAGGAGAAGACATGATCTGTATATGAACGGGAGTCCTGGACTGAATAAGAACAGAAAAATGAGAACTCCAGATGAAATAATTTTTCTCACTCTTCAGTCTCCCAAGATGTAAGAAATCAGCCTCACACTCCTACAGCCACAGTTAGAAGCAATTCCTGCCACCTTGCTTTCCTGGTCATAATAGAATATACCCTTAAACCGTGAAGCAAAATCAAGTCTTCCTCCTGGAAGTTGCTTGTTGCCAGGTGTTTGATCATTGCAACATAATTAACTAATTCAAGAGGTTAACTATACTGCTTAAGGTCAAACAGCTAGTAGTAGCAGAGATTAAAATCCCAAAGTCAAAGCTGGGCATAGTGGTACACATCTATAATTTCAGCACTGTAGGAGGCAGAGGTAGGTAGCTCTCTGTGCGTGAGGCCAGCCTGATGTACAAAGTGAGTCCAGGACAGCTAAGAAACCCTGTCTCAAAACCAAACCAAACCAAAGAAACAAACAAAAAGTTAGCTCTTTAGTCATTATTTCACTTCTGTGTCCTATTTTGCTATTATTAAGATTTATCATGAAGACACAGTCTAGTGAAAAAATAGCTAATATCCTTAATATCCCAAAATGTAGTAGCTTTTGTGAATATATTTGCTGAACAGACCTCAAATCCTTCTGAGTCCTGATACCCTAAAATGAAACATTTCCCTAACCCTTGGTTCACCATGATCAAATTTAAGCTGAAATGATGTGTCTTCTGATCTCTTCCCTCTGAGTTTTTCCAAATTCTCAGACTATGTATAATGCCAATCTTTTACTCAACCATTTAGCCTATCAAATGAGGAAAGGTATGTATGGCAGTAATAATGATTGGTAATTGCCCATTTACTATGTGCCAAGCCAGAGAGAAATGTGCTTTGAAGCCAGATTGTGGTAGTGCACGCCTTTAATCCCAGCACCTGGGAAGCAGAGGCAGGCAGATCTCTGAGTCTGAGGCCAGGCTGGTCTATAAAGTGAGTTCCAGAACAAGCCAGGGTTACAGAGAAAAACCTTGTCTGGAAAACAACAACAACAATAACAACAACAAAGTACTTTGATATTATCTCCTCAGCTTTTCCTTCAGCCTGTAAAGTGACTTCTGTTATTATTCCCATTTTCACATGTAAAAGAGAAATTCTTGTATTTTTTAGGACCTGCTGGCAGTCTGTCTTCCTAGCCATTGGTGAGTATGTTTCTGTTTATTGGCAAAACTATCACTATTTAAATGGTATCAGATTTTGTCTTGCACAACTAACTTTCTTCATTGTTAAGAAGCTGTGAGATGCCAGGGATTGGGCACACTTTCAAAATTATTATGAAAATGTTTCTAGTAAAAAGGAAGAAATGAAAAAAAAAACCTGAGGGCTCACATAAGTTGAGTGACCAACCCAAAATTGGACTTTTATGTATGTGAAAGAGCCCGGATTTTTACTTTGGGCCATATCTGATCCAAAGCCCTAGGGTATTTCTGCTTCATATTTCCTTTACCATTTATCTGGGATTTCTTCCTCAGTACTACATTCACAGTCATTGATTCTGTAGAATGTTCTTATTCTGAAGTTGTAGATCCAAGCCATAATTTTACTATGACACAGTATCTTCTTATAATCATACAAACTTTTGGGAATATAAGGGAACATAGGCTTTGCCTGTAACTGGCCACTCTGTGGAATGGATTTTCACAAATGCCAACTTTTCTTAGATAGTTATAGAGAAAGAATATGAGAGGATTTAGAGAAGTTAAAGAGATTAGGGCATATCATATATCATATTCTTGCAGATTTATTTAAGGAGGAACTTGGGTCTTCTATTGGAATGGTCCTGAAAAAAAGGAAATAGACTGTGGTGACTAAAGTATAAGCAGCATCAGTTTAGCAGGTGAAAATATCTTTATAGCTTTGACTAATTGATATTTGCACAGTATTCCAATGTGTACATTTTCCTTGTTTTTAAAGATAAATGATTGCTATTTTAGAATAAATTCAGTTTAGTTTGAAAGCAACTGAGATAATATTAGAGCAATGGATATTGCTAAAATATCCACACAGAAGATTAAGTTAACTAAAACAGACCTTAATGCTCGTTTGACTTTATTAATCTTTATAACCGAAGTGACACCCCTAATCAGGAGGATCTTCTGTGCCTCAGGGTCTCACTCTAATTGCCAGTTAATAAAAATGCCAAGGTATTCTTAATCAGCCAATTAGCTGACCTAACAATTATAATAGGGAAGGAAGGTGGGAGGGGTGGAGATTGGGAACAGCAAGTCCATCAAGGTGCTGTGTAAATTCTTTAGGGGTTAACAGTGGACACTCTTTAAAGTGAAGTTATTTTGTTTTACCTTGACTACTTTCCCATTTCTCTTTCCTTTCTCCCTTCCTTGACATTTATAATTGTTGGTATCCCTAATTGGCTGATTAGCAAATTTTAAGAAAGAAAAAAAAGAAGATGGAAGAGGAGATGACAGAACAGGAGAGAGAGTATGAGGAGGGAAAGAAAGAAGGTAAAAGATATAAAGATTTAAAGAAACCTAGCTAGTTACAATCTGAAATGACATATATGTAGAAATAGAATAGTTCTCTGTAGCCAAAAGTTTATATGAAATTAAAGTACCCGTTTACTCTTTGTACTGGAACAGTTAGTTTCCTAGTTTATGAAGCCCACAACATTAGCATACAAATTAAATTATAATATGAAAGGTCTGATATTAAGGGTGCTAATTTTCACTAGAATATACCTTCATGAAAAAAAAATCTTAATAATAGTAAAACAAAAGCTGACTTTACTGAAAGCAGGTTTGGGGTAGAGTTAGACTTTTATTTGTTTGATAAAAATTGTAATTTACTAAGAGCATTAAAAAGTATGAGTATAGGTAAATTCTCTCAGTTTATTATTTGCCATTTTAAATAGTATGAGAAGTTGATTATTTTAAAATGCTTAGAATTTGGGCTGGAGGTGAACCTTACTGGTAAACTAGTTGTCTAGCATGTTGGAGGCCTCCATTCAATCTTCACCCTATATACTATATACCACCATTGAGTAAGAGTAGGGATAGAATTAAGTAATTGTTGAAAATTGTCTGTGCTCCAAGGAACTCTCAGTTGATAAAATTCTCTTTTACATATGCAAGCACATACACACACACACACCGGCATGCACGCATGTGCACCCTCCCCCTCAAATGCTGTCAGAGATGTTCAGAGTCATAAACTTTCTTTAAGTATTATGAATAATGTAATACTCTGGTACCCTTATTACTACTCATTTGTACTTTTGTCACCAGGCAAAATTGCATTTTAGAGCTAGAACAAGCTTAAAGATCACCTATTTCTTTCTCGCAGAACAGAAGAATCAGAAGTTTACATAGAAAAAGAGACTTGTCTAGGGTCAAATAGGAAATTTTCTGGCTGAGCTTGGAGCAGGTCTCTGGATTCCCAGTTTTGTGTTCCTTTCTTCCTTCCAGTCTTCCCTTTATATAAATGACATCAAAGGCCAGAGGACAAATGCCAAGTACCATATTCTGTTAGAGACTGAATACAAAATCTGTGCACTCCAAGCCTGGTTGCATTCATTTTTAAATCATTCTTCAATGGCTAACTCAGAAGGCATATGTTTTAGTTTTATTTTTATGAGCCCCATCTTTCTTTCACGAATGTATTATTAACATGTCTTTTTTCTGATCTGAAAAGTTCTCAGGGGAATAATGGTGTACAGAATTTGGAAATGGAAACAACTGTGGATCTATTGCTTTTAATCTGATGGCTGCTCTTTTAGTTCTTCAAGATTCTTTTTCAAAGAATTGTTTCAAAATAGATCTATTGCTGTTATAAACACCTGAGCCTAGCCAGTATATGCACCTTGGTTTTTATTGGTCTCTTTTGGAAGGGTTAGATGTTTTCTTTTGCTCGCCTTTTTGTTTGTTTTGTTTTCAATCCACATCCTTTAAATTTATGTGTGTAGAAAATTCTGTTAGCTTTCTTACAGGAACTGTTTTTTTCTTGAACGTAGAGGATTCATCACAAATTGCTTGTAAATCAGGATCTGATTAGGAAGTAATATATTCATCTGTAACTCCTGCATAAAAGTTATTCAAGTATTGTGACAAAATAAGTGTTGTTTACTTTATACATTTTGTGCAATTTCTAAAGATTTCATCTAACTTCAAGGCTCTCATGGAATCTCAGGGATTGTGGCTTGCCCACTGAGAGTATAAAGGCTGACTAAATTAAGTTGATTTGCCTGTGAAAGAAATGCTTCCATTATTCATGTCAGAAGCCTGTCACATCAAATTGAGGGAGTGGAGAAAACCCTTTTTTATCAACATTTAGAACCAAGAAAAACCAACCATTGAGAGCCTGAATTTCAATTGGGGAAAAAGTCAAGCTGAAAGCAGAGTTCAAAAAGGGGTGGGGGTGGGTGTGTGGGTATTTGTCTAATGTTGAAAATCAGTAGAGGAGATTGATTTAACTTTGGCTGAAACTTTTTTATATAGACAGACAGAATGAAACTTCTTAAAGCAGCAAGTAGTACATACAATCTTGGTGTCTTTCATGTGTAAACTTGTCAAAAGTAGTTAAGCTAATTCAAATTTAAATCTCCTTGAATTCCTATTCTTGGACTCTTAATTTGTTTATTTTAAAGGATTTAAGAATGCATTTCTTGGAGGTTACTTTTCAAACCTTGATGAATGTATTTTGTTTTCCAGCGTTCAAGATTATAGGTTCTATTATGTGATTACTTGTATTAATAAGAGAAGGAAGACAGGCTGATCAAGCATCAGCTCCATGTTTTTGTCAGGAATTTGAGCATTTGTCTTAGTGTGATGTATTGTATACAAGTATACACACACACACACACACACACACACACACACACACACACACACACCAAACTTCAAATAAAAACCAGGTCATTAAGAGAATAACATGACTTGGAACAATAAAGGGAGAGCCATTCTCAAAGACAAAACATCCTCATGCAGTGCTAGTTTATTTTTAGGAAGAGTCTTTGTGTTTTGCAGCATAGTGAATTTTGGTAAAAGTTTATTATTTGAAAGACTATTAAGACATTGGAAGTTTTATCTTACTGTAATTTTTGCAAGAAAATTGATGTTAACACTGTTTTGCATTGTTTGTGTTCTGTCAGCATAGGTATTTTAAATGTTTGTTTACCTCATTGCAATCAACATACAATTTAATATTTTTGCAGATCTAATACTTTTAACTATCACTTTACTATATTTCTATCATCATTTTCTAAGTGTAAGTCTTTGACCTGATTTTTGGAAAACAAAATCTTTGGGAAAAAACATTAAAAATATAGAATATAATTTTTTAGATTTCTTAGATACATTTTTACATATTTTTATCTAAGGATTGTTCTAAATAATTATTTCACAAAAATTTAAAGAATAATTTAGGTGGCCTTAAGGGATCTGAAATTCTGTTAAAGCATAGAAAAAATTATCTCTCAAAGTGAGAGCTTCTGCAGTTCCTTCTCCTACAATGAGAAACAGGATGTTTCCTCCATAATTGTTTGTAGTAGAAAGAAATGTTGGTTTTGCACAAAACTAGCTGTTTCTCTGACAGACTGCAGATATGTGCAGGTTGTAGATGGTGGGGGAAAAGAATGAAATAGAGAGACGATTGTACTGTGCAGGGCAGGGGAAGACAAGGATTAATGGTGAGTAGAATTGTATTTTGGTGAATGCTGCTAACAACAGAGCTATGGGACAAGAGGGTGAAATAGAGGTGGGAGAAGGGAATGTGGAGGGCTGTGAATGGGTAAACTAGAGCACTATGTCAAGGCAGAGAATGAATAGCTAATTTATGTGTATTTATAAAAGTAAAAGCAAACAAAATAACAAAAACAACATACCAGTTTGACCAGTGCTATTTTTAGACCATGAACCCACTAGAGGTCATTCCTTTTGTCTATTTTCTGGCTGTTTGTTTCCAACTATGAGAATATGGACTAATATCTGGTGAAACAATTTGAATGGGCATACAACACAGCAGAGGATGGCAATAGAGACTTCTTCAAGGTTTCATTTAGAAACATTTTGCAAGTTCTGGTAGTATGATTTTTGAAAAATGAAATTTGGATTATGTCCAATCATAAAATGAGGAATTTAGAGCTAAGAGAAAGTTTAGAAATTAGATAAAGATATCCAGTCTTACAAATGAAAAAACTGGCACTAGAGAGTGGAAGATGGTTGTTCAGACTCAGCATTGAAACTTTTATTTTTTTCTTTCTGATTT